GTAAAGCGCTTAACGGCGTAACGGCGTAACGGGTAACGGCGTAATGAGAAAACGCCTAACGGGATTTTTTTTTTAATGTTATTTATCTTCGNCAATATTTGGCGCTGACGCACGGTAGGTACAAATTTATAAACAATCCTCAAATCAAAGTGCTAATGTGACAAACATATTTATTTTACGGTTTGTATCCGTGCCTGGCCGCTTCGAACTGGACGATGTTGCAGTTTGGCTTGTTTTGTTTCGAAAATAACTGCTGTGGGTTATAATTTTAAATCTCAGTTAACTTGAGCGACAGAAACGACGAATGTTGATCAAAATTAACTTTTTATTCACATTGATAACGATATTTCGCTCCCAAAGCGGTTTGTAATCTTTTCCACAAGCGCATTGTTGATTTTTCACCTCCAATTGCATGACAAGGAGTGGCTCGTTTTGACCTCTGAGTCACTTTTGTTTGGGGTCCTAAAATCTCGTAGTTAACGTTTGAGTAGCCCAAAAATTTTATTAAAGTTATTTGAAGAAGAAAATTTGTTCTTTCGCTGGATTAACTTGATATAACTCCTTGCCAAGGGTGCGATCTTACCCTCTCAATTTTGCCATTTTTTGTCCGCCAAAATGAGTGAAATATTGGAAAAAAAAAACAAAAATTCCCCAAAAATTTAGATTGCAACGGAATCGAATAAAGAACACTTCAGACTGTTTGTAAGTAAGTGATCTTTTCATTAGGAAAATATTTGGTCACATTTACTGTTTTTTTTATTTTCAAGAGACGTTCAAATAATGGTTGTCTAAACCTCGTGAAGCTGACGTGAGAGCCACAAAACCGATTTTTCCGCCGTTCGCGAAAAATAAAAATGCAATTGAACTCAAAGTATTTTTTCTAGAAATAGTTCATCAAGTCCTATATTCTGGTAAAGTTTGGGGATTTTCGATTTTCTCATATTGCACACCTCCGGGCGATATTTACGGAAGGCCCCTCTTAAAACCTGATATCATGCGGGGGAAAATGATCTCATCAATGTCATCGTGGGCGGCTCACATGAAATGCGAAACAAGCATTCGATGACTTGACTCCAGCGCAACGTTATTTATTCCCTCGAGAAAGGTAACAAGGACATGGAAGCAAAAATGGCAAAAAGGTTCTGTGTAAAACGACCATCTACGCATACATTTTTGTTTAATGTCAATGTAAACATTTGAGTTGAAATTTATCTCAGCTTTATCAATGGAGTTTAATCTGAAGACATGCATAAAAACGGCTTCCTTAAATTAATAGTTTTCATTTGTACAGGTGCCAATAAACCTTGTGTAAACGTCCTCGCCATCAGGATAAAAATTTTAAACTCCCACATGAACCTAAAAACATTGTTTTTTGTTTTCATAAACCCTTTCAAGTAATGGAAACAGAAGGCACTTATCCCATATATGCAACACAACTAAACTCATACTATATACTCTAATGACTTGTTTTCTATTTCCAGTTTCTTCATTCCCGAAGAAGCATCTGTGAGGAAGCTCGTGCTCTGAATTGCCTGAAAGACGACTCATAGTAAGAACAGCTGAAAACACTAAGTGACTTATGCACTGGAAAAAAATCGAGCAACTTGGTCTAAATTTTCATTGAAGTAAATGAATGCTTAATGAGAAGGTTATTCTGACGTTTTCAGTTATCCTTGGCTGTGCTACCTGTCGGTTTTCACAGCGAATTTAAAAGGGTTCATGAAACAGCACACCCACGAAAGCTTTACGTACTTTAAACAGTGCACCCACGCTAGCTTATTTACCTTCAAACCTGTTTGATTCCATCAAAAACAGCCAGAACTGGCATAGTTTGCCGCAACGTCCCAATTCCATTAACCATCATTATTTGAATTTATTTAGTTTAAGTTTATTTGTTGCTCGGAGATATTAGCACTTGCATGCTACCTTGAAATTCGAGGATAAATAAAGTTGTTATTATTATCATTATTATCAATTGAGGCTTTGTCTCAAAGCCACGAAACAACCGCGCTTTTTGTCACAATTCTTAGGTGACTTTTCAGCTGTCTTCAAAGGTGTTACTCCAAGATATCTGCATCTGATAACGTTTTCCTCAGAATTAAAAACTAAATACTTCAAGAACAAAACTCACTCGGGGAAAAGGAAACGCCATACTGTTTATTATCCTCCCAATGGTAACTGGGTATGAAAATGTAGATTTATCTTATTAGGCGTTTTGGTGTGTGGTATCGCTGAGTATTTTTTAAAGGCTCTGCCGTGATTTTATGAGCCCGGCGGGCGACTCAAAATACAAATAACGAGTAACTGTTTTATTTTATGTGCATTTCTTACTGAAAGGTGGGAATAGCGAAGCAGATAGAGAGGAGTAGCAAGCGCAGCCAAGCGGTTAAATAGATACAAAAAAATAAACATTACAAAATAACCAAGTGTCCAAATATCACGTGATACTTGTTAACGTTCTTGATTGGGGCGTTATCTGTCCTCCACTTTGTGAATTAGATAATGAAGTTGCTTTATTGGATTCAACGCCTCTGCTACAGTCAAAGCACCAAACATGTGGTTGGTGGTTGTGGCCTAAAAGGTGAGGAGTTCAGGGAAGTCAAAAGTCGATTGGGGCTGGTCTTAAACATCTGAGTTACTAGTAACGTTGTAGACACAGTAATTCTCATGGTATTTTTGTTGTTTCTATTCTANCGACAAAAGCATGGTTTCAATTTCTCTTCAGGTGCCTCAAATCGGGTTAACAACGGATATTCATTTTTTATCGCCGGGGAGGAGAGTCGGAGAATTCTATGGGCGGGGGATTACGTGGCTTTCATGGGCTACGAAAGGGGGATCAATCGTCGCTTGTAGAGTATTAGAAAATTGGGTTTTCCTAGAACAATCAGTTTCCCCTAAATACGCTCTGTGATAAGTTTCTATTCGCTGCCTTTCCTCTCCTCTCTTTCCTCCTTTAAGAATCTGGGGGCTTCGGTTTTCTGATAGGGCTAATTATTGGAAGAAGTTATTTTTTTGTCTTGTTCGCGTTTTAGCGCGGAATGTCCTAGTCGGCAAAAGCCACGCGAGATCATAACTTTATTAAAGAGGAGATGTACGTGACAATTTATACTTTTTTCTTTTTGTGAATGGGTACAGCGGGAAGGACAATAACTATGGAAGCGCTGTCAGGAGACCAATTCTTGCTAACTGCGATATTAGTAAACATCACTTTTGAATTCTTTAGCACGCGCCAACCAAGGTTCATAGGGGGAAGTGTCGGAAAACGGTATTGGTGGTTAATTGCTTTTTGACAACTTCGATCTTTAACGAAATTGTTTGCGTAAGTAGTGATCATAAATATATTAAATTACAGTTCCTTGACAAAAAGCACTAGGCAGGTGAAATCGTCTTTAACAGGTGATATACAGCAGTTTACAGAGGAAGCTTGCTTCATCCAACTTACCAGAAAAGCGCTATGCGAGAAGAAAGTTATAAAACGCTGGTTTGCTCTCTTCGAAAGGGAAAAAAGCTGGCAAATCAGTGCAGGAAAAAGTCACTGTTTCAAAGACTCTTCTTTCCACAATTAGAATGCAAACGAGCTGATCGCTAAATTTGATTAAGTACATTGACGTATATGGATAATCAGTTGCAGTTTCATGCATTTAGAAAATATGCGAAACACTGCAGTAAGTAAGTGAGACCATTATTTAAGTGTCAATGTGTTTAGCCTAAGAAGACTAAAAGGGGACACTAAAATTAAAATACACTTATAAAAATTATATATAAACACGAAAACGATTAAAATTTAAAGTTTAGAAAGCTAAATATTCCTAGTGACTACAAAGATTACAGCAATTTCTGTTATTTATTGCAATCTCGTCTAGGTTCAGTTTTCTTATTTTGTTTATAAAAACACATAAACTTGGCGAATCCCTTTGATTTTTAGTGTGTTTTACCACAAAAACGGCCCGAGATATCTGACAGAGTGCTTGGCATAGCAAATAGTTTCAAAACGTGGTAATACAAAGTCACTATTCCGTAGCGAATGTGTAGAGCTTTTGCGAACAAATAATTCAGAAACGCAGTCGGGTACAAGACCATGTTTGACTTCGTACATAAGTACTGTGATATCCTGAAGCAGTCTATTATATAAAGAGGCTATATCAGCACGCCTTAGGAGTTCTTCATACGTAGCAGAGTGGGATTTATAAATAACCCTTAGGACTCGTTCTCGTAATCGTGTTAACTTTCTTTTGTCCGACGATTTGCAAAAATGTCACGTTCAGTTAGATTGCAGTAAGTTAGATATAGCAGTATAAAAGATTTATACAATAGTAGCTTGGTTTTGCAGAGTATTAAGTTCCGAAAACGTGAGAGTACTCCAACTTTCTGGCTTGCCTTGGTACATAATTTGCTAATATGTTCAGTGAAGTTGACATTTTCATCTGTCTGAACTCCTGGTGGTTTGATTGGCTCTGTGTTCGCATTAGCTAGATCGTTTATACTCAGCGTTTTCAATGTCGCTCTTATCTTTATCGAGTTTTCGTGGATTGATGTTTAAAGACTGAAACTTGTCTGGATTGGCCAGTAGAAAATTGTTGGAATACCATGACAGTGCTTTCTGGCCCTGCGTTTTGACTCTGCCGGTGTCTGGGGCTTCTTTTAGTTTTAGATTGATTTAAGTCAGTTGTAAGAAGAGGGTTAACTTGAATTCAAGACGAAAACTGTTTCGTAAAAGTCCAATCTGCATGATATAGGGAAGTGTCAGAGACTAAAACAACTACGAGCGGCTGGAAGTTTTAAATCATTATAAATTGCCGAGGGTTAAACTCATTTAATAAGTCAGAAAATTGTTGTAAACGGAAATTTACTGAAGACAAGCACACAGGTGTTTCAATTAGAACTAATGGTTTTTTTTTTTATTAACACTTCCATTTGGCTAATTTCTCGTATTTGCTTAAAACCTAATATCATGCGAGGAAAAATGATCCCATCGATGTCATTTTGGGCAGCTCACGAGAAATGCGAGACAAACATTCAATGAGTCGCATATGTATAAATGAGGCTCACACCTCTTTGTCTCCTAACCAAACTGACCCCAGCGCAACGTTATTTATTTCTACGAGAAAGGTAACAAGCTAAGGAGATGGAAGCAAAAATGGCACTCAACATCCTTTTCCTGCTCTCAATTCTTCTCATCCAGGGATCCTACGTTGAAGGACTCGCACATGCGTGCACTTATAATGACACAAGGCCCGTAAGTAACATTATTTGTTTTGGTAACAGCTAATGTAATTCTTCCCAAATGAGACCAGCGTGAGTAGAAAGCGAGAACCAGAAAAGGAAACAAACAAAAAAAAATTATCTCCGACCATTATCTGTATACCAAATTCGCCTTTTCTTGAGTATGGAAATGCATTTCCAATTCGTAGGACCACACGTTATCAATTACGTCAGCAATTTTCTTTCTTCCTTTGTAGGTGTGCAAAGCGGTCAAAGCAAAAATCATGAAAAAGCATGCGCGGCGAATCTGTTCCGCCGCTCGAAGCCTGAGTTGTGATCAAATGCTACAGCACGACTACCCCGACTTCGAGAGCCAGAAATAAGGGATTTACTAAGCTGAGAAGATGTTTTAAACTTTAAACTCGTAAAACGTTCTTTAGGTCTTTCAAAATCTACCAGTAAAGCAAGTCCACAAAAAGAAAAGGATTGTCAGTTATTTTTGTTTTTAATTTTCGTCTTTGTTCTACTTTAACTTATTATTTCGTACAACTCAATGCTATAATGTCCAGTAACTGCCCGCGGATAAATGTCTCATAACGAACGAGAACCGGCGTTTGCATCGAACCCTTCTCAATTTACCCTTCTAATTTGGAGGGACAAGAAAAAATTATTAGGTAAAAGAAAAAGATCAGAAACTTTAAGTACGAAATCAAACTTTGATTAAAAAGAAAAAAATAAAAGGAAAGAGAAGAAACAGTACTTAGAAATATTTTTTTGCATTTGATTTTGGCAAAGGACGACAGGTCGATCTTAAAAAGACTGATAGTTTCGAAAAAAACTGTTTGGGCTGCGTCGGTGGGGGTAACGAAATAATTTGGATATATCAACAAAGTTGAAATGGTAAATTGGCCACCGTAACGATTACAAAAGCTGACGTTTTAAGCGTTAGTCCTTCGTCGGAGCGAATAGAGGAATTGTGGGTTGTGTGTGCTTTTAAAGGCAGGAAAATAGAGCTACGTTATTGGTGGGAACATGGCAACCAGAAAAACAAGAATAAATTAGTGGAATGAAAAGCGTTCGAAAAAAAAGACACAAGCCCTTGTAAATTTATTCAGGCTGAAGCAAGTCTATGTATTATCTNCAACAAGGAGATGGAAGCAAAAATCGCGTGCTGAGTATCCTGTTGCTGTTCTCATTTCTTTTAATCCAAAGATCCTACGTTGAAGAAATTAATTAGTAAATTAAATACAGAAGAAACTGGTATTTTTGTCTGTTTGGTCTCCTTTCACTTATCATTTCTTACAAATTAATCCTGTAATAATATATACAGGAAAAAATGACGCGCTTCTGATTGGCTGAAAACGAGTGTAGATCACAAATAGCATGGGCACGCTGTCAAAATTTTGCCTGTCTTGACTTTCTGTGATACTTTATCCATGTGAATTATTTACAATTAACGACATGATTTTGCGCGCAATTGATGAAAACAAGCACATGTTAATTTTTGAAGGCAACAAATTGTAATCGGCCCACGGGTTCGGGCAATTTTGTGTTCTAATACCAAATTGCACTCGAAATCATGCTATTACCTATCCAATAACTGTCAGCGGAAAAATGCCCTGTAACGAATGATGAACGGACGTTTGAATCAAGCTCCATTTAATTTACCCTTCTCAATTAGAGAGAGAAGAAGAATCCTTCTTTAAAAAAAACCTAAGATCAGTGACTTGATCAAATCTTAAATCAAATTTAAACAACTTGAAAACAATATTTATACCTTGATGTTTTTGGAATTATTTTTCTTGAAACAAGTCTATCTTAAATAGACCCAAGCCGATACAAAACTATTCATGAAAGAGTTAGGTAATGTATTTCCTTTACAAAATAAATTAGGAAATCTTCACAGGATAGGTAAAATTGTATAGGTTCACCCTTCCCTTGTAATTGGTGCCCCAATCAACATATTAGGGAGGTTATGATACAGACGTTTTCGGGACGACGGCGACATGGAGACCGATTTAAATCGGGGCAAGATTGACTGCGCATGCGGCCCCGCCGTCGCCCTCACGTCGGCGACGTGAGATCAGTGAGTTTGCCATCGGGGTGAAAACGTGAGTTGATCTTGTTTGTTTTTTTTTAATATACTGCCAATTTTTTCACTTGTATTAAAGTGATTGCATTATCACATTTCGCACAAGTCATCACACGATGTCTCGGCCAACTCTAGAGACCTTTCGTTTTCTCTTTTGTTTAAAATGACCAAAGCAACAGTGAAGTCCAAATCGTCGAGGTAACTTTTGGGCACGTACGCGTACTGTACTTGAATTCTTACCATAAAAGGGGATTATTGCTTGCTGCCATTCCCTTTATGAATTCGTAGATGCACCTCGCAAACGTACACCTCAGATCTATGGAGGTTTTTTTAGCTTAGTGCGTAGTCTTGGACTGAAACGTGGTATACTTAAATAAAGTTCTTATCGCATCGGACTTTCCTTATGTACCTAAAGGCTGGCTTCTTCGGTAGTGTAGGAGCTCACGTAAGTTGAGTATCTCTGAAGGCATCTAACTGTATTAATTCAGTGGAACTGAGTTCTTGTAACGACTCCAATTGATATTAGAACGAGCTGTTGCTGTTTGTACATCTCTCATATTTCAAATTATAAGATCTTAAAGCCATAGGACATTGATGTTCTTATCATAATGTAGCTCTATGAAAACTGTCTTTAATTCTTGTTTCCAAATTAATTATAACTCTGACTCCTTTTTTTCAGCACAATGGAATGGACAAACCAGCTTGACATATTTTTTAGCGTCGTAGTAAAGGACGAGGAGATGGCGGAATTCTTCAAAAGTAGCCATGCTACGACAAAAAAGCCTTAATTTATAAAGCGCAATAAATAAACTCGACGAAGTCACAGAAGTCGCAAAGGCCGGCCGTCATCAGAATCTTAACAACTTAAATTATGGGGCGAAAACGGCAACCTCTGACCCAGTCTTCCTGGGTTGTCACGTCGCCGTCGCCCCCAAAACGTCTGTATTTCAAGCTCCCTATTGATCCACCGCAACTGACGGATCGTTCTAATGTGACGCCATGGCGGCCATGTTTGTTTTCGAATCAGTCTTATGGGAGTTGAACTCTCCTTTTTATGAAAAGGGAGTTTGTTTTGTTCAAATAAATTTACATACCTGTTTATTACAAGATTGAAAACCCCATTTGTGGATAG